TGACTGTGATAGGAAGAAGGGCAGGTGAACAGAGAGTTGCAGTGAATGCTGTCTCACTGGACACTTAACCAGAGATTAAATGGTCCTCTGCTTCCTGTTCTGGCCGTGATCACATTGAAGCAGACACAGCAGAACAGAGTGAGGGTCAGATGGCTCAAACAGTAAAGCAGCATGATGTGTCACAAGGAAATGGCAACTGTCTTAGGACTGCCAGACTTACCTTTCTCTTGATTTAATATCCGTGCTCCATCTCGGCACTGTAACATGGGCAGGGAAGGGCTGTATCATTAGGAGGGGAGAAGAGCAGGTCAATTTTCAGGCTTCTGTTCCAGGCTCTGCTGCCATCTTGCTTCTTTTTGGACAAATAATTTAACTTCTCCAAACCCTCCATTAAAGAAACCAAATAAAACTCACTAAGACCAGAGCATGCTACAAAGTCTTTGGCTGAAAATGGCTGGGTGGATATGAAAAAGATAATGAGCAGCATGAAACTTGCAACTTTCAGTCTGTTTTTTTTTTCAGGAACTATTGTTTTTCCCAGTGTTACAATCTACTTTTGTGAAACAGGAGCTATTTGATTTCCTTACCAAAATATTTCTGTCTCAAGGATAGAGAAGGGAAACATGGACTTAGAAAAGAGGACAACTGTTGTTTTTCCTTGCTACAGGATAGAACACCTTGGACTCAATGTTGTTCTTCAGCTTTTGGTTGGGATTCCCCTGGAAATGGTGCACGGAGCTGCAAGGATCAGTTTTGTGTACATTGCTGGAGTTGTGGCAGGTAGGTGACACCTGGATGCCCCAGATGGAGAAGCATCTGGAAATGGTCTGTGCTGACTTTAGTGTAGGACAAATGTTTTGTGACATTTGGGTATAGGAGAAGAGCAGTCTCTGATCTCTACATTCAGGTTCTTTTGGAGGCTGTAAATGGGAAATATGCTACAACTTGGCATCTAACTAGCCATAGGCTCTGTTTTTAGGACACCTGATTAAAAAGCACCAACCACCTGTTACTTTAAAATAGCCTTGATTTAGGTGGTCTTCCTGAATGTGAAGGTCATGCTGTTCCTCTCCTCTTGTGTCCCACAGAGGTCTAGAAGAAAGGTGGGCATCACAGGCATCCTTGCATGAAGAGTCTTTTTGTTTTTCCAGGTCCTGTACCAGTTCCTCCTCCATTTGTCCTGTGCTGTCTGCTTTCTACAGCCTGAGTAAGCAAGAAGTATTTGGTTGTAGGTTGTGAGCAGTGCACAGAAATTTGGAAATTCATTTAATCATTAAGATATGGGGTTTGATTGATTTTTAGTTTGTGCAGTATTGCCTTTATTTAGCATTTCCAGCAGTTTGCAAGTGATGGAAGTTAGCTGACAATAGATCAACATCTAACTAAAACAGAGTAGTGTGAGAGCAGCCAAGGGCTTCACAGAGGAGCTCAGGCAACAATTGACTGTATTAGTTCAAGATTTATGGTGATTTTTTTTCCAGCTACATGATTGTAGTTTTCCATGATGAACAGATAAAACCTTTTGTAAAATGGGCTGCATTGGGTACTAATAAATCTGGCATTCCAGGAGAGAGACTGTGGAAAGAATAATGGGACAAGGTTACAGGACTAAGCATGGTACAAAGACCATGCTGTTTGAGGAAGGAGTTAGCAGACAAGCTCCACCACTCCTTGCCTGTTATTTTAATAAGCACTAAAGTGGTCCCCAATCTGCAACTTTGAGGCACAAGCTTTTCTACATAGATCCTTCTACCAAACCTGGCCCTTTATTTCTCCATAAGGAAATGCACATAGCACACCTGTGCCAGGTCAGCAGAACAAGTGAGCATTGACTCTGCTGCAGTTGAGCCCAGACAAGCACTGGGAATTGCAGCTGCCCTTCAGGTTCGTGTAGTCATGGACTCATTGGCAGGGTCTGCAGGGCCAGAGGAAGGTTTTACACAGCATTGGGGCTGGGCTCAAGACCCAGAGCTCTGCAGGCTTGCACCAGTGAGACTCACTATCCCTACTAGCATTACTGATTAATTTTTGCTGCACAAATGATCCCATTTTTTCTCAGACAAGTTGCCACATCCTCGTGGTGGTCTTGCCTTTCATGCCCTGTGACCTATAAATGGTGAAACAAAGTGCCAAATGGAAAGGGAAAACTTACCTTCTCAGTGCAGGAGGGAACTACAGATGTGACTGGACAGTCCCACACAGACAAAACATCCCATGATGATCCCCTCAGCTGTTTGAGTTGTCATCTAATTATTAAATATGCTTTATTTTTTGACATGTGCAGGGGGAGGGGGAAAGAGGCATATTTGTGTTGAAGGATAACACAGCTCCTAAGCAATCGGAAACAAACAGTATAGGGCAGACAGGGCCATAATATTCACTCCTTACTTTTATATTTTTTTTCTTATTTGTCAGGCTTCACTAAGAAGACATTTTGAGACTGAGAATGAGAGACTGAAGTTAAATGCTCAGTGCAGTGTCTGAAGACTTAACTGCGAATTCTTATTACTCTTTTCTTAACTTATCATGAACTTTTTCCTTAATGGCAGTGCTTAAGAGCTGAGAATTCCCAGGGCCATACAGTGAAGGAAGGAGGTATCATCAGAGTTGGATCGTTGTACCTCAGCACTTTCTTGACCCAGAATCAGCCAAGCAATTAGCAAAGAAGTTTGTTAGATTCTGTACTACCAAAGGCTCTCTCAAG